TTGCCCACAATGGTTATATTGGAGTTACAATAATAATTCCTGACTTACTTTGCTGTTTCAGAGGTCAAGGCAAGGGCAGCTGCTATCGATAAGTCTGAAGGGCTGAAGGTCTCCTCTTCCTCACTTCCAGGGCCAGGTTCATGGAAAAGAATCCAGATAATGTTCCATCATTGCACCAACTCAGAATTCTACAAATCCATGAATGTGTGGAAAGCCCTGTGTGCACCTGATGGACTCAGCCTATCCCTGACTCTGGGACTTACCTGGTTTTAAACCTTTTTTTCCTGGTTGTGGAGGTCATTTCCAAGCTCTGTTTCCTCTCCTCCTTCTGCTCCTCCTCTCTGTGGTGGAAAAAGGCTCGGGTTCCCATGGTGGGATGTCAAAGCCAAAATTTCTTGCTGGAATAGATTGAAACATTCAAATCAGACACTTTAACAGAATCTTTTAAAGGCTTTGCTCTGCTTTGGGGTTCAGGGGCTGTGTGTGACTCATACAAAAATATTTTTACATCCACACTATGAGAGGGGTTTGGTTCATGATGCTTCTGTGGAAAGCGGGATCAGGGGGAGGAATAGAATCTCTCAAGGCAGCTGGAGCTGTCCAGAACAGGGAACAGGCAGTCCCTTGAGGATAGATTTGTTTCTCCAGGATATCATCAGGAATACTGGAATGCTTTGGGTTGGAAGTTAAAGCCCATCTGATGGGCAGGGACAGCTCCCACCAAGCCAGGGTGCTCCAGCAGTTCCAGCTGCTGAAGCAGAGCTCTCCCTCATGTACAAATGTGTAATTCCCCATGCCCAGGCTGCACACAGAACAGTCACAGCTCAGCACTCCAAGAGGAGAATGCTTTATCCAGTCCTTTGCATCCTCAGGGATCATGTGTTTCTTCTGAGCTCTGAGGGAAAGGCTGAAAAATCGTGGAGCAAACAGCATCCTCCCAAATGTCTGCCTGCAAGGAGTGGCTCAGGAGCAGCAGGATTCTCCCAAGGAGTGACCAGGAGAGCTTCCCAGAGAAATCCCCTTGCACAGGTGGAACACAGGAGCAAACACTGGCACTCCTGGCTCCCATCCTGGCTCCCAGCCTCTGCTCTGGGAACCCACAGCTCGCTGCTTTTAGTCTCTGACTAATGGCTGGGCATTAAAGGCAATTTTTAACGTGGATCCCTCCTCATCTCCCTGTCCCTGCATTAAATCCCAACCACCCAGCACAATCCTGGCCCTGGGCACGTTCACAGGGTCTACAAGCTCGGGTTACTTTGGAAAAGCAGCTTTGCAAATGTAATTGTTGCTGAATAGAATTTGTTCAAGCATAGTTGTAAATCTTTCCCTAGCTCGTGTTCCATGACTGAAATTTTCCCTTGGCAAATCTTCCACCTGGATTTGAGCTTTGCTGCTTTCGAATCTGAACCTGATAAAAATACAAACCCTCAGCTTTTCCCAGTGTAATTTTCTCATGCAGTTTTTTTACTTGTACAGTTTTCTGTTGATGTAAATAAATTTCTTATAAACAGTCCATGGAAAAGCAGGGTTGTTGTGGTGAATGCAAAATATCCCAACATGCAAATGAAAATACAGAATTATCTTGATAACGTTTCCTTCGTGGGCATAAACTTTGGAAGAAACAGCAAATGCTGACAAGTAAAAGGAGAAGAAAATAAAGCAGGCTTTTTTGGAAAAAAAAATCATTGTAATTTCATAGTTTCTGCTGTCTTCAGAAGTGGTTCAGCTGCAGAATGAGTCCTGTCATCCTGGGCATCAGAGCCTTGTTTCCCTTCTCATGAATAATTACTGATACAGACTCATTTTTACTAAATAGTGGGTTTTATTTTTCCCTCACAAGGTGGGGTTGTTGGGGTGTCTGTGCAGGGCCAGGGGTTGAACTTGATGATCCTTGTGGTCCCTTCCAGCTCAGGATATTCTGAGATTCTGGGAGCTCTCCTTCATTCTGTCTCCAGAATCAGAGCTTTCCTTTTGTCCCTCATGTAAGATTTTCCTCCCAGAACTTGTTAAAAACTCACCAGTGATTTTTCATGGTGTTCAAACACCCTCCAGTGCCAAAATAAAGGAACAAACAGGGAGGGGGAATGGGATCCTTGGCTTGCAGAGTGCTCATCCCTGGGCAGGATCCCTGCTGACTTCCCCTGGGGCTGCTGCTCGGGGAGCGAGCAGTGCCAGCTCCCAGATTTAGCTGGGAAGACAAAGAGCAATGCTTTGCTCTAGGGTTACAGCTGCCACCTGCTGCTCTGCTGTCCCTGTCACCGGTGTGACATCTGCTGGGGACACACGCTCCCTGTGGCATGGCACCTCCAGCTTTTATTGCCCAGAGCTGGGATCAGCCTGGCTGAGGAGGAGAGCGGTGCTGGGCACAGATGGCTTGCATGGGGAGACCTTTGGAGCAATGTTGAAATCCTGCTGTTTATCTGGAAATGCTCCTACACAGAAGGAGATGGAGAAAAGGAGGTCCTGGAGCAGCTGTTTGACACAAATGGATCTGTTTGGTTCTGAGCAGAGGAAGGCAGTGAGGTCAGCAGGAATGAGGTGTTCCTTGCTTCAGTAAAATTCAACAGCATCAACATTTCTTTCCAAGCTTTTCCAAAAAGAAATAGCTTGAGAAGTGATGATCTGTGTGTTAAATTTAGGAGGTGACTCATGAGACAAGAATCAATTTCCCTCTGCTCAGAAGATCCAGGCCTCAAAGATCAATATTGACTAAGCCATGACGAAAGCAGGAAGCTGAGGATATTGCAGTAGGACAGGGCTCTCCTGCCTGTGATCCCTGGGCACTGGAGCTGCTGGGAGGGTGGAACAGAGAGGATGGGCTGGAATCATTCCTCCCTTTTGTTCAGGCAGGGATAATGCAGCCCTGAAGGTATTTCAGGGCCTGAAGGAGAGGTGGATGTCCCAGCCCGGGGACACTTTGCATCTTTAGGCACCTGTGTGCATTCTAAAAATCCATTCCCAGACTCTCCTCAGTTCCCACCTGTCCTCCAGCAGGATGACACATTTATTACAGTCTGGGCTTGATCAGACCCTGTGGCAGGGCTTCTGCAGAGGGATTTGGAAAGGCTTTTAAAATAGAAAATAACATAATTTTAGCAGCAGATTCAAATGCTCTCCCAAGGCCTCCATCCCTTCCACATGACTCTGCCCATACTCGTCCTGTGCTGGGGGTTGTGTTTCACAACACAACCCAAAATGTTGATTATTCCCTGGGTAGCATCACTGGGAATGTTGTTGACACAAGATATGCAGCTCACAGGCAACTCTGAATAAGGTAATTGGCATCACTGGCTTTAAATGCCTCTCCAGGGGGGGTTAGTGGAAAAAAATATTACCCCTGGAGTCTCCCAGTCCTTGGGAACAACTCCAGGAGCTGCAGCATTTCTCTGTGTGTTGTTTTTTGGGGCACAAAGTACAGGAACCAGATCAAAAGACATTCCACAGACCGTTTGGTAGTGAATGGAATGGAGGGAGCTCCCTGGGAATGTCCTGCTGGTCACTGCCCAAGCCAGGCAGTATTTCAGTCTTTGATACCCTCACACTTCTTCAGCACATTTGGAATTTTGACCTTTTGGCCTCAGAGGGCTGTGGTCCTTCAGCAGGTGTTGGAGCTGGAGCTCAGAGCTGAATCTTGGCCTGTAAACTTTCTAAGACTATTCCTTTAATCCTGGGTTGAATCATCAAAAATCTTCACTTCATGAGCCTATGGCTTATTTGCAAAATCACCCCAAAGAAAGTGGAATTTAACCTTTACCTTCAGCTTTCCTGGGCTGAGAAAAGCCCCAAGTGCACTTGGAGTGGGAACAGCTGAATTTTACCTCTGGTCAGATTGGTCTCTGAGTAGATACTTCCCCATACCAGTCAAACCTTGCTTATTCCTGTAAATGCTTTCACTTCTCTAAAACCAATGTCCTCAGACACATTTTTTCACCACAACAGTGGAAATGAACAGGCTGAACTGTGCTTTCCTCTGAATGAAAAATAATCACCTCCTCTGGTCCCTGAATTAGAATTTAGCTTCCTTTTCCAAGTGCTCCAAGGATTTTGACTCCCAAAAAAATGGTCATGGCAGCTGTGGAGGATGTGCCAGGAGCATGGAGCAGGTTCCTCATGGGCAGGGAGGGAGAGCTCCAGACCTCCCTGGTCTCCTGTGTGGATTACTGATGCATGGATTGGGATAAATTGAGATTGAGGGTTGAACTGGGAGTGCTGCAAATCCTCACATCCTGCCTGCCTGGAATGTGATCCCAGGTGCTTCATCCCTGGGGATCTCAGGGGAGGCAGAGAATGTGTGACTACTGCAGAGAAAGAAAGGAGCAGCAGCTGAGAAAGCTCAGAACTAGGCCAAGGCTGCATTAATCTTTTGCTGAGATGAAAAAGGCTTTATCTTTGTACAGGTATTAAAAAAGGCTTAATCTTTGTACAGGTATTAAAAAGCACAGGGGACAGGGACACATTTCACAGAACTGCTGCATCAGGAGCTGTTACCCAGTTTCAATGACTCCTTTAAAGGCAAAGTCCATTCCAGGAAAGTGGAATACTCTTTTCCAAGTCATTTATCCAAGGGTAGAACACCAGTAACTGTTTACTTCTTTTACTGTACCGTGGTACATTAAATACTTCTAGGTTTGCATACCTGAATTTCTTCAAAGGGAGTTACATCTTAGCCCTCTATCTCAGGTGTTGGTAAAGAGCGCGTACACTTTGTGAATTTTGCTAAATTTTCAGTAAACTGAATCTGGGATTGGAAACTGAATTTTCACTGATCTTTTAAAGTAATCCCATTCATAATAAATATGAGAATATGTGAGAAATAAAGACCTGTTGTTTAAGTGCAAAGGTAGAGTATGGCAGTGTAACAAGGAGCAATTCTATCAGTAAAGGCAGAACAGTGTGACAGCCCTGAGCTCTGTTAATACAGCCAGGATCAGCTGTGGCTTTGCATTGCTTCTGTTTTATACAAGAAAACATCATCTGGATTTAAATACCACTAATTCATCCTAATAAAATTCTGTGCTCTCCTCATCCCACTGCACTTTCAAGTCCAAATCTTTGAAGAGCATGGTGAGAGGAGTGTCCCTGTCCTGGCCTGGGGACCCGTTCAGCTGTGTGCAGCCCAGCCCCTTTGCTGCTGGGAACATTTCCATGGCTGCAGTCTCTGGGAGCTGCACTCTGTCTGCAGGGTGTGGGAATGGCTCTGGCAGCACCCACTGCTGCCCGTGCTTCTCTGCAGGGAGCTCACTGCCAGTCCGGACTGAGAGCAGCAGGGGTGCCAGCAGTTCCTCCTCTGCAGCGTAGCCTGGGGCAGCTTTCCCTGCAGGCAGCAGCAGGGACAGGGCTGCCTGCTGTCTGTAGCATCCTCCTTGTTCCAGCAAGGACAGGGACAGCTGGGACACACGCTCTGGATCTTCCAGCCCCTCACTCTGCAGCAGCAGCTGGCTCTGCCCAGGGCTCCCCTGGATCACAACTGACTCCAGTCTGTCCCTGCTCTTCCACAGGGCCGCCTTTGGCTGCTGCTCTTTGTAATCCCAGTGGCTGCAGCTCTTTCCCAGCCCATGGCTTCGGAGCTCTCCGTCCTCAGAACGATCTGGAGAAGATTCCTTCAGCCTTTGCTCGGGCTGTGGGCTCCTGTCCGTGCCCTCCATGCACAGCCCATAGGTCAGGGCCAGGCTGGAGCTGCCTGGGGCAGCAGCAGTGCTCTGCTCAGCTCTCTGAGGAGTGTAAGCAGTGATGGGAGCTGGCATTTCCACCTGGGAGGGCTCAGGGGGCAGCTGCAGTGCTGCAACATCCACCTGCTGCTGGTAGGGACAGGAGGGCTGTCGTGGCTCCAGGGCCCAGTCCAAATGTTGGCTCATCTGGGCCAGCTGCACTTCAGGGATGAAAGGGGAAGGTTTGGAAAAGCTGAGGGGCTTTATGATGTGCTCCACTGTCAGTGTGAGAGGCTGGAACGATGGAATCCCCCTGAAGTCCTGGTGGAGTAGATAAAAAAGCACGAGTTATTACCAAGAAGCTGTGACCTTGAAGGTTTGCTTTAGTTACTCTAACATTTTCTTCGGAGAAGTGTCAGTGAAAGCCAGTAACAACCACCAGGGATCTGCTCTGCTGACAAAAGAGCTCTGCTTCTTTTTTTCTCCTGGAGATTGACCATTCACAGGAATGCAGACATTTCTCATTGTCTATCAACTAAGCAGTCTTGAAATATGAGGAAGAAAATCTCCTGCTTTCACTTTTGCAAGATTTGGCCTAAGCCCTGCAGCATGGAAATAGCATGAAAATCCTTGAGCTCATTAGCATGAAAACCCAGTTCTTGCTGTGGGAGATGAGGGGTAGCTGAGAATCCCAGGGTTTCAAGGGAAAATGGGGATTTAGGATGCCTCAGGTTTAGCTGCCTAACCCAAGGGGCTCAGATTTGGGCAGGTTCTGAGCACTTTAAAATATCAGTAATCTGCAGTGATTGCCTAGACCAAGCTCCTTAACCCTTTAAATGAAGGAGGGTGGGTTTAGATGGGATACTGGGGAGAAATGCTTTACTCAGACAGTGCTGAGGCCCTGGCACAGAGCAGCTCTGGCTGCCCCTGGATCCCTGGCAGTGCCCAGGCCAGGCTGGATGGGGCTTGGAGCACCTGGGACAGTGGCAGGTGTGGACCTCATACAGGGCAGGGACTAAATGCCCTTTCCAGCCCCAGGCAGGGGTGATTCTGTGATTTGCAAGCTGGGCTGCAGTGGCTGAGGGCACTCACCAGGGCCCTGGGCTGGGCACTGCGCTGTTTGATGTATTTGTAGATCACAAAAGCAGTGGCAGCAAACACCAGCCCGGCACAGAAGGCCAGAGCCACCAGACAGTAGAGAATCCACGTCTTGTCTGGGGAAAGAACAGGTGGAAAAAGAGCTGGATTAGAGAAAATGTCACAATTAGCTAGGTGATATCACAGGTTTAGTCTCACAGGAATTAATTTTTAAATTATTAAAACGTTCTGTGCTGAAAATCAATGCATTTTGTGTATCCAATATCCCAGCTGGAATTTTCAACTTTCAGCAGAGTTAAAGTCTCACCTGCCAGTGTTTTGACCCAAAACACCTGAGGTTTGCTCCTTCTCTGGAGCAGACAGATATAAACTGTCCCGTTGTATTCAGTGTCTGGGTCCAAGTTGGAAACTTCAAATTCTTTGTTGTGCTCATTCTTTGTCCACTGTTGAAAAGAAAGATAAAATCTGTATTTGGGCAAGATGAAATTTTCTTCAATTCAGATTGCAAAATTCAGCATAAAATATTTACTAATGAGGTCTTACATGGCTCAAATTATTCTGTATGTATGGAACTCTGATTTTTTCTGAATCATATTTATATGATTTTGTTTTCCATTATTTCTGTATCTAATTCTGCATTTTTTTCAGTTTCTTAAGACTTGAAAATTACTGCTTCAGTAATTTTTAGTCACCAATGGTTTTACTTTTTGCTAGTTATACAGTACTCTTGGAAAATCCTTTTTTCCCCAGAGTTTAAGAAGAAAGCTTAAAGTTCCTGTTGTCCTGAGAGTCCAAGACTCCAAGGCTTTTCCTTGTACATAGAAATCTCCCCCATCCTGTGTAAACTGAGATCCTTCTCCAGCTCATCTGAAATGGGATTTACAGCATCCCAGTGCCCGAGGTTGTGCTTTACCTGCTGCTGTGTCCTCTGGTTGAATATTGTCAGGTGATAATCCACAGCCCCAAATTTGCTGTAAATGTCCTCCACGCTGAGCTGCTGCTCATCCTCCCCACGCAGGGGGGTCAGGGGGGGCCGGATCAGGAACTTGATGGAGCGGACGTAGGGAATGTGTTCCACTTGGGGGGCCCCTATGATGGCTGGGAAAGGCACCACAGGCACTGTCAGCTGTGTCAGCATCATCTGATATCTTAACCACACCCCAGACTCGCTGAAATTGGTGTTTCTGTTTGTACAAAAAGGTGGCTGAGCTGTGTGAGCGTGGCAGGAGTCAGGCTGCTGCACACAGAGTGTTTGGGGTTCTCTGCCTTCACAGTGTTTGTCCCCAGGAATTCCCATCCCAGGCTTTTCCAGCTCCATGTTCCCTGTCCCTGTGCAGGATGTTCTCCTTCATGTGTGTGTGAGGGATGAAGTCCCACCACAGTAACAGCTGCCCAAATCCCAATTCCCATCCTACACCAGATCTACAGGGCTTTTGTGCCTGCACTTGTCTCTGGTGACAGGCACACACCACACCCAGCCCTGCACAGGGCTTTAATCCAAATTTTCACAGCTTTTTTGGTGCAAAGACCTGAAGGCTCTTCACAACCATTGGCTGCTGATGCCACCTTGAATTATTCTTGGTGATTTTTCAGTAGGAAATTTTAGCCACAGAGCCAATAAGGCTCCCAGAGGCTGCGTTGTGTCTGCAGTAGGGCTCACTTCGGGGTTGGGACATGAAGTATCCACTGGAATGGACGCTTATCCCAAAGTTCCCATTTCACAGCTGCTGGGACTCACTGTCCTCAGGTTGCCCATCATGTCCCTTACTCATTTCTCTATTCCTCCCACCAGCAGCTCTCCTTTCCATCACACCAAGCTTTTCCTTTCTCTGACCCCACTTCAGCACCAGCTCTCAGCTGCGACCCTGCCCATTTCTCATTCACCTTGCCCAAAACACCAAACCTCCAAGGCTTCACTCCCCCCCACCAAGCACAGAGCCTTGCAAGGCTGAACTGGGAGGAGATGCTGCCCTTCAGGAGGCAGGAGCAGGGCTCTCTGGGGGCTGCACTGGTACCTACTCTCCTTGCGGGGCTCGAAGCGCTCGGAGCGCACCCAGCTGGGGGAGCAGCCCCGCGCCCGCACCCGCCCGTAGAAATGCTCCGTGAAGTTCTCTGTCTCCTTGCTGAGGTTGCAGAAGAGCTGGGTGATGCTCTGGCACTCATGTTTGGTGAGCCAGGATTTCTCTCCATACCTGAGGACAAAACAAGGATTTGGGGTTGTTAGGTTGGATAGGACTGGGGGAAAATGGAACAGAGAGAAGGAAGTTGCTGAAGGCATGAGTAACTCAGTTATGGAGCAAAGCAACCCAAGATGTAAAATATTTGCTTAAATGAGCATCCTCTCCCACTTTGAAAAATCCTAAAATATTCATAGGATTATATGAACCATTATATGAACCACTATATGAACCATAATACAGGCAGGAGAAACAGCAAAATCAACTTTTCTCTCTTGGCCCTTCTTTCTTGAGACCCCTAGGAACAGCCCAAAAGAAGCAAAGTTCACATACTGTTTGTACTGGACATCAAACACAGTGCCAGGGGGAATATCTGCCTCTGTTTCCCACGTCAGGATGTTCTCAAAGTTTGTGGAAGAAAATGCTGCACGTTTCAGACATGATGATCTCTCTGTAGTCACAATACCTGAAGGAGCAGAGAAACTGGCATTAAAAAGCATCTTCTGACACCTCAATGGATCTTGTGGTATTTTGCTAAAGCTGGGCTGAAAAGAAGGAGCTTGAGCAGAACAAGGCTTCAAACTGTGTTCACATCACACTCTTGCAGACAACTGACTCATCCCAAAGAAATCAGGAATTTATACAGAAAAGCCTCAAAAACTGAAGTCAGAAAGAGAATCCTTGAATTTCTCTTCGGGTTTCTTTAACAGCCTTTACATGGGTGGTAAAATAAGACAATAACCTGTTTTCAAGCCCAGAATCAGGTCTGTGAATGTCTCTGCTTTCTGCCCCTGCTCAAGGAAGTGACATGCAGAGCTCAGTGTCACCTCCTGAAGATGTGGCTCCGTTCTCCTCTCGTGCTCCATGTTTTATTGGATGGAAAGTGCCTGTACAGAGTGACACCCGGTGTCTGGACTCTGGCCTGGGTGTGCCAGGGTGACAGCAAACAGCTCAGCCCAGCTCCCTGCTTTCTGAGCCCTGCTGCTCTTCCTTCAGGGTCAGGAATGTCACCTGGCCCTGCAAACATGGGGACAGCAGGACCCCACCGTGGCCCTCCTGCAGAAGGTGCTGCAGAAAAGTCCTTGAGGATTTTGTGTCTCTCTTATCATGAAAAAACAAAGTGCAAAATTTACACATGAGTTTCTAACTTCAGGATTTATAAACTCTGAATTCAGATTATAGGTAGACCCTCAAAGATAAATAATTTACACATTATTCAGCTCTTTGTTTGTGGCACTGATAAACGCCTGGGGCATGTGAGGGCTTCAGCCTGCAGTGAACAATGAGACCCCTGGTGAAAAATGAAAAAATAGCAAATGAAAATAGCACAGATGGGCAAACTGAGCCCTGGGATGGGGCTGCCTTGGACAACATCACATTGAACAGAGACTAAATCCCACCTGGATCCTCACTCCAAGCTTTCAGCCATGGACCAGAACTGAGCAGTTCAGTCTGCTGGCTGAATGGAGGAGGGTTAGGCAGAAAAGCACAGATCTCTTCTCAGTCCTGTGTGTGGCATTTGGGCAGGGAAGTGGTGCAGAAATGGGCTGTTTGTTACTCCAGATTTTGTCCTGATTTCATCTGCAGCTCCACACTTGCCTCTGCTCACTCCAGGCTCAGCCGGAGGCAGCAGTGTGGGTATGGAGTGGGATTCCCTGCCCTGAAAACTGAGTCACAAATACCCCAATCTTATCAGGAGTAGGAAATCTCTGTCTTCCCACATTTATCCATGCTAAGAACGCTGTTATGCAAAGCAGCATAACACAAGCACAGTCAAGTGTGGGCAGGGGAAAACCGGGATGTTTCACAGTGTGACAGTCCCTTGGGCTGAGGAGTTTCACAGGGTGAGATCCCAGACACAGCAGATGGATGCTGAATGCTGAAAAGCTGGTGTCTGGAAAGAGCAGCTTTATCCTTCATTCACCCAGCAGTGAGCTTGTCACATCTGGAGTAGGATTAAATGGCTTTTAGAGGGTAGATCTACCTTAGATATCAGGGAGAAATTGTTCCCTGGGAGGGTGGGGAGGCCCTGGCATGGGGTGCCCAGAGCAGCTGTGGCTGCCCCATCTCTGGAAGTGCCCAAGGCCAGGCTGGACAGGGCTTGGAGCTCCTGGGACAGTGGAAGGTGTCCCTGCCATGCAGGGGTGGGATGAGATGAGCTTTAAGTCCCTTCCAACCCAACCATTCTCCAATGACTCCCTCATTTTAAGATTCCATTATTTGTTTGTACCCCCTTTAAAATCAGGACTGTTCTTGTGTTCATTTGTGCCTTTGCTTAAGACACGAGGAGACTGATCCAAAGCCCCCTGATACCGATGAACATCCTTCACTGCTGTAGGATTTGGGTCCTAGCACAGTGACAAACCCTTTGAAGTGAAGGAATCTTTCTCCCTCCCTACTAATCCCTTAAGTGCTGAGCACACCAGCCACACATGGGAGTTACTACGAGGAGAGAGAACTCAGAAGAGAACCCAGACAACAGCTCATTCTCTAGGTGATAACTCAGGAAACAGGAGTGAAGTGCAGACTCCAGAATCAAGCAGAATCCCACAATCAACAACAGCAGAGCTCAGGACTTACCGAGCACTGAAACTCCAGCCAGGACGATCAGAAATCCCTTCATGAATGACTCTGCAGGCTGGGCTGCGAGAGCAGGCAGCTGCTCCTGTGTGCAGGTGAATCACCTTTTGGCTGAATTCTTTCTTGCCAGGCCAGGTTGGATTCGTTGCTCAGTAACAGAGCAAAGCAGAGCTCCTGTCCTGCCTTCCCTGGGCTCTGAGCTCCCAGCTGCTCGGAGCCCTGCGCATGTGTGACGCCGCGGAGTGACAGCAGGAGCACCTCTCCCCTCCAGTGCACACCTGACTGTACAAAGGTGCACGAGCCAGAGGCTGAGAAAATCCCCAGCTCCTGAAAAAGAGCCAAATACCTTTTTGCTGAGAGCTTCCTGCCTGAAAGCCCTCCCTGAGGTTCCTGGGGTTTGAGGTTTGCTTTTCTGGTCGGGTAATTTGAGCTTGTTACAACTCTAGACATTAAAACTTAGAGCTGTGCACCTGCTTGGTTTAATACCTGCTGCAAGCAGTGCACCTATTTCCTCCACAAATACTTCTGAATACTTTCTTACAATGAAAGTCAGCCAGAGCACTGGGATTTTTTCACCTGATGTGGGTAAGAGGTAGAAGAGTGGTGGCCTTTCCACAGGAGGAGCACCTGCTGTCCCACAGCTCCACAGAGACTATTGTACACCTACAATGTTTATTTTTGTGGCTGTTTACAGTGTAAAGTTCTGTGACTGAATCCACGTGATAAGAACTGGGAGTTTGTATGGACAAGAAGAAAGGGATACAGTCCCTTTTCCATAACGAGCTCAGTTTTTAAGGTGTTATTATGTTTTCAAAATACAAACCCTGTGTGCTTCTGACTGTTGATTTTACTGCTCCATCCTTGCAAACATGTGATAGAATTCACAAACCCCTTCTGCTTCCCTCCTCATCTGAGCATTTCCTGTTTCTGATGCTGTTTCTGTTCCCTGCCCTGCCTGGGTGTGGAAGGGCTCTGTGATTCCAGCCCTGCCATGGTGCATCCCTGGCACTTTGTTTTTCTCAGCTCGCCTGGACAAAGGCAGAGGCCTCAGGTTTTTTAAACCAGACACACCTATCCACCCGTGTCTAATTAAGTACAACTGTTTGTTAGGGTGTTTCCTGAACAGCCTGATAAAAGTATTTCCATTTTCCCTTCCCTCACATCGCTGCCTCACGCTCCTGCTGTGTGATGGGGCAGAGCTGAGGGACCTCGGTGTGCACCTGAGCCTTCAGTTCTGAGAACAGAACTTCAAACCTTACCTCTGCCCTTATTTCTAGCCCAGTGTCTCCTTTTTGAAACACCTCTCTGAATCTTTGGGGACCTGAAGATGCCCAAAATTCAACTTTCAAGTTTAAAATTAGGGTTTTATCTTCCAAACTCCCTCAAACTTTTCCTCACAGTATGTGGGGACTGCAGCATCCTGGTGACTGGTGGGCATGAACCCTCCAGGTGTGGATGTGGCCCTGGGGACAGGGGACAGGGTGGGTTCCCAGCTGGACCCGATGATCCCCAAGGTGTTTTCCTAAGGAAATGATTCCCTGATGCTGTGATAAGAGCTGGAGCAGCTGCTCTGGGAGAGAAGCACTGTGCTCTGGCCATGACTGACCCTTCTGCAGAGGAAAACAGCTCTCAAGCCTTGCTGAAAGAAAATGAGGAGTTGGATGCTGCCACCACCCGTGCAGCTCAGCTGGCCTGCAGCCTGCCCCTCTGCTCCCTGGACAAGACAAGAACTGATCCCAGGCTGTGTTTGCAGAGCTGAGACATGTCCAAATCATTTTGTAGAGGTTACTCAACTTCGGAGCTTCCTGTAAATCAAAGCCTGGGGAGTTTTCCTGGATTGCACAAGAAATTGGGTGGTGATTATGTTTGGATCATCTGTGTCTTTCCAAATGAACTGGAGGGATAACAATGCAGGATGTACCTAAGGACACTTTGCAGAGGACAAAGGAATAGTCCAGCCGGTGAATCCTTTCCCCCACCTCTCCTTTGGACTTTAATTCAGGACCTTAATGAGTACATCTTGCTGCAAAGCAGTTCCCAGTCCCTTACTCCTTTTTTCCCTCCAATTCTCAAAGGATTTCAGCTTTCATACCCTCCATCAACACCCTCCCCTTATCTGAGCCCTCTCGGAGAGCAGAGAATGACTGGGGAGTGTTTCCCTCTTTCTTTTAATGCTTTGTTTTCCTGTGAGTCCTTCACACAAAGGCTCCTTTTGATACTGGAGTATAAAAAGCCTTTACAAGGGCATGAAGTGATGGGACAAAGGTGATGGCTGTAAACTGCCAGAGGCGAGATCTAGATTAGATACTGGACTGAAATCGTTCCCTGGGAGGGTGGTGACTCCCTGGCACAGGTGCCCAGAGCAGCTGGGGCTGCCCCTGCATCCCTGGCAGTGCCCAAGGCCAGGTTGGACAGGCTTGGACCAGCCTGGGACAGTGGGAGGTGTCCCAGCCATGGCAGTGGGATGAACTTCAGGATCCCTTCCCACCAAACCATTCTGTGATTCTTTGTTCAGTTCTGGCTTTCCAGTGACCAGAGTGACCTGGCTGGGAAGTCTCAGAATTCCACTCCAGCCCAGGATGGGCTCCTGTTTTAAAGGTAATGTTTTGTTCAGGATGAGCTGCAATCCCTCTTTATAGCTCTGGGAAACAAAACCACGTACACATGGAGATTTATATCAAAATATTATTGCTCTCAGACATTCTGCACAGCAGGAGGAATTTCAGCTTCATTAAATATAAAATAAAAAAATAAATAAAAAACCATGCTGCACACTTGGGCTTCAGTTCCCCCTGTTGGAACCCAGAAGGTGATTTCTGCAGGATGAGGTGGAGAACTTTTCATGCCACAAAAACCAGATCTTGCTGAATATCTCTGTAAGGAACTTCCAGTCAAGCTCTGGACTTTGCAGTGAAGCAAAGGTGACACCAAGCACTTCAAAATCTGCTCCAAATCCACGTGCAGGCACGCCACTGCATTTTCAGGCCCTTGTTCTGAAGTTCAGGTGAGCCCCAGGCAGTGCCTGTTTGCTGGGTGGTCCCTCAGAGATGTCCCTGCCTCCCTCACCCCTGGCTGGCTCAGGCTGTGCCAGAGCCTGGGCACCTTATCAGAGGGACAGTGACAGTACAGAGGTGACTTAGCAATAAAATGCACTTTTGTGTCCCTAAAGCCATTGCCTTGGTAGGCCAGACATCAGGTTTTTGTCCTTGTTCAAGGATCCTTGCTTGGATATCTGGAGCTCTCCAAGATTTCCAGGCACTCCCCAGACCTGCTGGGCACTTTAGATCCTTCCCAAGTAATGTGAGCGCTCGTAGCCTGGGAATTGCAACTTGGGATCACATTTTTCCTCTGTTTTTGAAGTCCCAAAAGGATCACTCAGCACTGTGGACTCGGGTGGGGTCTCTTCTGTAAAGCTGTCACTGCCACAGTCACTGGCAATGCCTTCGTCCTCTGCCACCTGCAGTGTCCACAAGGGGATGGGCAGCTGCCTGCTGGGATCCTCTCTGGCCTGGGATCTCGAGGCCATCTGGAGCTGCAGATCCAGGATGGATATCTGGTAATCCCTGGAGGAATGAGGAGCCTTCCTGTGCTCATGGGGCTCAGCACCAATGCCCCCCAGCATGGAGGGAAGAGGGGTCATTCCCAGGCTCTCATCCCTGTTTCCATCATCCTGCCCCTGCTCTCTGGCCCCTGGGAATCTCACATCAGTGAGGGATATTCTTTCCAAAGAGGAGCAGAGATAAAGGGATGGCTCCTCGTTTGCCTGGGATCCCGAGGTGTCCACTTCACCCTTCCTCTCTGCAAAGAAAGTGAAACCCAGGGCTCTGAGGTCGAGCACAGATGCACTGGCCACAGGGAGAGCTCCACATCCTGAATCCAAGCTGCTTTCCCCCGGAGCTGCTGAGCAGGGCTGAGAGCTGAGATGTCTCTTTGGATACCGAGGCATTCCGTATGGGATCAAAGTGCTGCTGTCTTCCTCCTCCTCATCCTCTGACCATGATGATGATGATGATGATGATGATGATGATGATGGGAAAGAAGCCATCCATGGCAGGTGGTGTCCTCCTAAAGCCCTGTTTGTTCTCCTTTGGGGCACTGGCTTCTCTGAGCAGTTCAGATCATCACTGCAGAATTCCTTTTCACCGAGCTCCAAGTGGAACCTCGGTCCAGCAGCTTTAAATTGAGAGAAATCCTAGCAGGGAGAAGGAATGAAACAGTGAGCCTGTGATGCTTTCAAAAGAAAAATCTGGATGTCAGAAAGGTTCTTTCAAAAATGAGACTTATAAATGTCAAACTGAGAAGTGCAGAACCCCCCACTCCTCCCCAGTTACCCTCTGAAAACCAGCAAGACTCTGGGTCAGGAGGGGACCCCAGAATTTGGGCCATACCAAAACCTGAGGCATCTTCCTTTGCTTGGCCTCGTGTTTCACCAGGCAGCAGATGAAGGGACTGGCCACAAAGATGGGGAGGACAAACAGAGGGATCACAACCAGAAGTGGGAACTTCCACTGTGCTGATGAAAAAGACAGAAATAATCTCTTGTGAGTGTATTTTTATAGGCATTATGGGCTCTGCACTGACACAAAATACTCAGAATTTTCAGAAAACATTTTAGGCTTTTTTAAATGAAATTATTTCTACAGAAAGCAGGAACCACTCACCAGAAAATCCGACCAGTCCCTTTAACAGGAAGCTTTTTTTTTTTTTTTGTGGTGAAAACCTGATTTTAGTGGAAATCTTTGCCTTGCCCTCATTCCACTGGATGTCTCCCACATCCTTTCCTGAGAAGGGCCATACCTTTGTGGTTTAACAGCACACACACAGGCTGGGAGAATTCACTGTGCTTCAAGTTGATGCTTTCATAGAGAGCCCTGGCACTGAAGCAGTAATTGCCTCTGAGGGCAGTGGTGTTGATGGTCACTGTGTCCTTCCTGAAATAACCCTCATATTTCTTCTGTTGAGAGACAAAGCAGAGGGTTGGAGAGGTGATTCTTTCATTATTGGGGTGGTGTTTCTGTATCACCTTAGCCCATGGATCCCTTG